CGCGGCGCCCTCGCTCGGCTCCGCTGCAGAGCGGGGAGCGGGGCCGCGCCGGCCGCTCGGCGCTGCCCTGCAGGGCGCGGGCAGAGCGTCCCTGCCTTCCTGCGGGCAGTGCCCTCGCAGCTTCCTTCCTGCTGCTCCCTGCGCCTACGTAACAAAACTCCCGTCAGCTCCCCGAGTGATGGAGACAGCGCGCGCCGAGCGGCCTGGACGGCGCYGCGAGTGCTGGCGATTTATCTCTGTTTAAAGCACTCCCCGCCGCCCTCCATCCGCAGCGGGAGCGGTTAGGGAACTCAGGGCAGAGTGGCGAGCGTTACCGGCCCGTTATGGTGCACGTCGGGGGAGAGCTGGGAGGGGGAGAGCGCTGTGCGGTTCCCTGGCCCTTTTTGCCCGGAATTGAGTGGGAGCCCGGGCAGAACCAGGGCAGGGAGGAGCTCGGCTCGGTCTCAGGATGCTGCAGAGCTCACCGGGGCAGAGCGCTCGGGAGGCGCTCCCGCCGCTAGGCAAGACAAGCCTGTCCCATTGCTGCGGAGCAGGAATTGGMTCCAGGCTGTTTGGAGGGGAGAAGGCTTAAGGTTTCGGGCCACCTAGGTCTGGCCAGTGGCACAAGAGATACTGAAAAAAAAAAATCTGCCTGTCCTTCCTTTGCTTTCAGTCTGCCTCGAGGCGGACACCCGGTTTGCGGTGTGTTGCGGGACGTTTGATGTCGGGGTGGGAATCGGGGAGGGCGGCTCCGGGCAAGGCGCCCCGGCGGGCTCAGCCCTGTCCCGCTGCCCGCTCCGCTCCCGCCCCGGGAGGGAGGATGCGCTGGGGACGGGAGGGCTTTTTGTTTCAGCGCCCCGTTGTATCCGCTGGGAACGTGAGAAGGTTTGGAAGGGCTTCCGCAAGTCGCCGTCCCTCCCCCGCCCCAGGCGAAATAAGACAGACCTAAGCCATCAAAAAAAAAAAAAAAAAAAAAAAAAAAAAAGCCCTTTTCCTCTAAAGAAGATTTATCAGACTACAGTATTTCAATGAAAAACAAAACCGCTACAATTAGGAAGATAGTCCGTTGCAGGGAAGGCTGGAACGGCATCGTTTTCATAGTAAATAAACCACTCCAGATAGACTGGCCACATTTCTATTTTTGTGGCTACTCTGTAGAATTTAGAACCGAATATTACCGAGACCGTCATCAAGGACCCGCCACGGAAAGGAACAAATGCCAGAGAGCCCGACACCTTCCCGAGCCCCCGAGGCCGCCAGTTCCTTTCCCAGAACCGGGAGCCCGCGGCGCTCGGGCGGCCTTGGCCGCTTGCACCAAGACCCGTCCGAGCCTTGGTTAGTCCCGTCCGTGCCCATGGGCAGCCCCAGGTCTCCAGCTCGGCGACTCTGGCCAAGGTAGTCGGCGAATCGTTTGCTGCCGCCGTTGCGTGAGGATTTCTGTAACAAATACATTTAGAAATCGAAACAGGTGAATTAAAAGCGCATTGTTTAACGATAGGGAAAATTAAACGTAAAAAAAAA